ACGGGAGTCTAAGTACTGTGCTGATTTATTACATTCAGGTAGGATTCATTCATATCTACTGTACCAATACAAGAGTCGTGTCATAACTTTTAGATTCGCATTAAAGGGACAGTTCACATTAAAATGCAACACAGGCTCAATGTGAACATGTACCCCGTATATATTTCTGGAGATCGTGAATTATGTATCCAGAACTACGTATGGCTGCATCTTGAGTCTTTTCTTTGGTCTTTAAAACGAACGCTACGAGGCGGTTTGATGCCGTTACTTTTCACGCTACCAGCTGACTGCTTACCTCCATATGAATGGCTTTCCTGCTGTTACCAGTTTGTTCAGTTAGCTCGCCATGTTCGTCATTGGACTTGCAATGTAGAGAGGAGATGACCACAATGACAGGGTTGGAGTCCTCTGAAGAACGGTTCCAGAAAGCAGGTAGGACATAAACAGAATTAAAAATGAAAATAAACGAGTAAATAACAGGGTAAGAATGCGGTAAAACGTGTTAAAAATCAGATGAGGGCTTTTCTTTTTCTGTTTGCTTTTGAAAACCGTCATTTGGGTATATGGAAGACGGTGAGCGGGTCAATCGGTGCTTTTGAGAACACTATTGGTTGGGTTTAGGGGAGGAGGAGGGTGGGTCAGTCGGTCAGTGATTCAATCAAACATTCGGTCAACAGCGCCTCTGGTGGATTTATGTGAGAACTGAAACTGCAAACAAATGTAGCTCCTGGGACGTATTTGGCGCTCTCCAGAAATGTATACAGAGGTACACTTTCAGAATGAGCTTGGGTTGCAAAAATGCACAGTTAAGCCTGAAATTATTCATACCCCTGCACTGAAAAAACATGATTCATTATATTAATAAATTATTTTAAGGGTTAAGGGGTTGTAAACAATTTATAAAGAGCTGAATTTACACAAATTAGGTTGAACATTACTAAAGTTAACTTGTTTGTTAAAATTCAGCCCGTATAAATTGTTTGCAACCACTTAACCCTTTAAATAAATTAGTAAATGCGAGGAATAATTTTTTCAATAAGGCTAATTTCGATTAAAGTTATTTTTGCTCAACCTGTTTTTCCAACACAGGCTTATTGTGATTACGTACCCCCGTATACATACGGTATGACGTCATTCCATTTCTCGCTTACAAGCTGACCGCTTGCCTCTGTATGGATAACTTTCCTGCTATTACTAGTTTGTCCAGTAGCTCAGCATATACGTCAGCGGACTTGAGACGCAGAGAGGAGTTAGTCACAACAACAGGGTTTGAGTCGAGCAAAGAACGATTCCAGAAAACAGGCAAGATAAAAACAAGCCAAAACATAAACAAGTAAATAACAGGGTGAGAATGTGGTAAAATCTGAAAACGTGGTAAAAATCAGGCGAGGGCTTCTCTTTTCTATTGGGTTTAGGGAAGGAGGAGGGTGAGTCAGTCAGACAGCAGCACCCTCTGGTGGATTTACGAGAGAACAGCAGGCGAGAATGGCACTCGCAAGAAAAATTTGAGAACTGAAAAAGCGTACACAGCAGCCTCTGGTGAATTAATGAAAACAAAAACTGCAAAAAATGTAGCTCCTGGACCGTATTTATCGCTCTCCAGAAATGTATACAGAGGTACATAATCAGAATGAGCCTGGGTTGTTTTTTTTAAGACCGGAAATGACACAGGCTTGTCTCAAAAGATAATAAGATGATGTTCAATTCAATTCAATTCAATTCCATTCAGCTTTATTTGTATAGCGCTTTTACAATGTAGATTGTGTCAAAGCAGCTTCACATAAATGGTCATAGTAACTGGAACAGTGTAGTTCAGTTTTTAGTGTTTAAGTTCAGTTCAGTTCAGTTTAGCTCAGTTCAGTGTGATTTCAAGAGGCATCTTTGTGAAACAAAAGCAAAAATTCTCAGCTTTTATTTACATTTGAAGAAAAAGTAGCATGTCTAAAATGATTTATACCCTTCTCAATAATCAATAGACAAGCCTTTATTGGCTATTACAGCAGTCAAACACTTTCTGTAATTGTTTATTAGATTGTTGCATTTCTATATCTTTATAGAAATCTATATCTGTTTTTGCCCATTCAGCTTTAACTATGAAGTCTTTCACACTTACTTTGAGTTTTTGTCTTGTTTCTAGTCCAAATATCTCAAAATAATTTAAATCAAGAAGCATTTTCTAGACAAGCATAGAATATTGTGTTGTTTTCAGAAATAATGAGTCGAAAATGCAATAATAGTAAGGTTTATTTTGCTTACCATATTATTTATTTATTTATTCATTCATTTATCTGTTTGTTTGTTTGTTTTACACTTTCACTTTTCACGCTATTAATAAACCGCTAACTTTTAAGACTATTAACTCATTACCATTAACTCATAAGACTTTTAGCACAATAAAATACTACTTTATTCATGATTAATATCCTAATAATAGACATGAAATCAACCAGTATAAAAGAAGATTCTCATTCAGGTTTAAGTCAGGACTCTGGCTAGGCCACTGTAAAACTTCCACAGCGATGCCTTTTGTTCTTCATCTTACTATCTTTTGTGTAATTTCCGGTCAAAAAAAATCAACTTGCTGATTAAATAAAAGTAACTTTAAGTCAGGATTTGTCGGGCATATCAATAATTTCAGGCTTGACTATAAGTTATTATTTGCTCACTTGTTTCACACCTGTGTGAATTTCGTCTGTTGAGCACAAAGGAACATGTACTGAAGAATGCTGCAATAAAAACACATTTATTTACATCATATTTTTTATTCCCACTATGGATGTCGATTTCTCCTGCATATTTTGTTTTGTGTTCAACAGAAGGAACTCAGAGTTTTGAACCAGCTGAGTGTGATTTAAGTGATGAGTCAGTTCAGATGTTTGCGTGAACTGCCCCTTTAAGTAATATGATTTTCAGCCATGACTGTGAAAATGCAGTAGTGTAATAAGTGTGGATGTTCTGTGTGAACGTTGCCTTACAACATGAAATACAACCAGTTTGTGTACTTTTGAAATAAAAGCTTTTTAAAAATAAAGAGCTTTTTTATGTTTAATGACTATTTATTTTATGCAATTATTTTTACCCATTTTGTCTTCTGTTGCATGGATTTCTTTACAGCCAAAATTACACTGTATGATGTAAAATATGAATTTTTCATTTATGCCAAAATTCATTAGGATGTTAAAAATAAATGATTTTGCATGAAGACATTTAGCCACACATATTATTCTAATGCACACTTAATGCTATTAACAAATCATCGACATTTAGCACAATAAACAAGTAATTATCTGCTTTTTAACAGTTATGTAGTTGGGTTTAGCTTTTGGGTTGGATTAGGGATGAAGAATAAGATCATACTTGATAAATATTTTTACAATGTTTTTTTTATTTATCTTAGTAATAGGCAAGTAATAAGCCAGTAGAAAAGCAGATTCTCAATTGGGTTTATGTCAGGACTCTGGCTGGGCCACTGCAAAACATCCACAAATGATGTCTTTTGTACATTGTCTTACTATTATTTTTGGAGAAAAAACCTAATAGCTGGTTTATTATTAAATACTTTTATTGTTTAATTAGCTGGGTTTCGGTGTTGGGTTGGATCAGGGATGTACAGTAGAATAAGAGCATACTTTATAATATTTCATATCCAAATAATATGCAGGTAATACACCAGTAGTGCGAATTGTTTACACTAAAGTTTTAACAGATATTCAGTGAATTTCCTGCTGTTAATATATCAGAGTTAATATTTGATTATAATGTGTGTTGCTAAGAGCTTAATTTGCACAACTTAAATGATGATTTACTTGATAACTAACTCTCAGATTTACTTATAGTCTTATACATCAATGGACAGCTTATTTATTTTTCTGTTCAGATAATGTTAAATCTCAGTTTCAACTAATTTTCCTGTATGACCTATTTGTTGTCGTTCTGAAAAGAAAGTCTTATTTGTTTTATTTCGGCTAGAATAAAAGCAGTTTTTAATTTTTTAAACACCATTTTAGTGTCAATATTATTCACCCCTTTAAGCCATATTTTTTCTCGATAGTCTACAGAACAAACCATCTTTATACAATAACTTGCCTAATTACCCTAACCTGCCTAGTTACCCTAATTACCCTAGTGAAGCCTTTACATGTCACTTTAAGCTGTATAGAAGTGTCTTGAAGAATATCTAGTCTAATATTATTTACTGTCATCATGGCAAAGATAAAATACATCAGTTATTAGAGATGAGTTATTAACACTATTATGATTAGAAATGTGCTGAAGAAATCTGCTCTCTGTTAAACAGAAATTGGGGAACAAATTAAGCGGGGGTGAATAATTCTGACTTCAGCTGTTTATATATAATTTTTTAAAGTACACATTTTGGGCCAGTGATCTGCAGTTTGTTTGTTTTTTGTTAGATGAGTTGATCAGTTCTGTCTTTTGGACTGACTAATGTATCTGCACAAAAGTATTACTGTAAACGTCCTGAAGAAGATATGAATGTAAAAGAGAGATCTGTGAACCCAGTGCTGCTGAACATTCTTCACACACTCAAATTCTTCGAAAATAATTGATTCTTCACATTTGGTTAAAATAAAGTGACAAACAAACACACTTCACTAAACACTTTGATGGCTTTATTTACAGGGAATGCACAGCGCACGGTCTACTGAAGGAAACCTGTTGCAAACATAGTAGATGAAGCGTGTGTGTGTGTGTGTGTGTGTGTGTGTGTGTGTTTCTCTTTTTAATCCAGTGATATATTGCAGTTGAAAACTTGGGGAATATTAAAAAAAAAAAAAAAAAAATTACAAGGGGGCGAATAATTCTGACTTCAACTATACACACACACACACACACATATATATGTATATATAAAGAGAACATCTAAGAAAATAAATATATAAAAGGATATTTCTTTTCTTTCCTAATAGAAAACAATCAGTCTTTTCGCAGTAACTGTTTCAGCGCTATAAATATAAATAATGTGTTTTTATTTCCTCTCATCACTTGCAGACGTACTGGTCCACGATGCTGGAGCAGCGTTTGCAGCGCACGTAGCAGCACCAGTGGAACTTGCAGTGGCATCTCTCCACCAGCTCCGCTTTGTACTGGTCGTACCCGCGTCCGCAGCACATGAGCGCGCAGCCGTCCATTCCCTCAGACGTCTTATTGCAGAGCCGCCCCTGCGTGCCCAGAGAGCCAGAGCTGCTGTTCCGGATGCAGTAATCCGGGCTGGGCTGCAGGTACAGCAGGTCCTGGCCTGACGGAGGGCTGAATTTGGAGTGCATCTGCACCAGTTTCCCACGCCCGTTCATCCTCATGGCGGCGGCGCTGTCGTATTTCTCCTTCAAAACGTCGCCTACTTTGCGGAAATCAGCGAGCTGGAGCCAGCAGGTCTTCAGACTGCAGGAGCCGGACACACCGTGACACTTACACGACACGTCAGCCAGATCTGACACTATCTGTGTGCACAAGAGAGAGTGTCTGTTAGCTGGAGAGAGGATCATGGGAAAAATACTAAACAGAGATGGAATCTAGGGAATCAAGATTATTAATTCATTCATTCCTTTTCCTTCGGCTTAGTCTTTGATTTATCAGGGGACACCGCAGTGGAATGAACCACCAACTATTCCAGCATGTTTTACACTGCGGATGCCCTTCCAGCTGCAACCCAGCACTGGGAAACACCCATAGACACTCATTCACACACACATATATACTACGGTAAGTTTAGTTGATCAGTTCCCCTATAGCACATGTGTTTGGACTGAAACCGGAGCACCTGGAGGAAACCCACACTAACACGGTGGAGAACATGCAAACTCCATATAGAAACAACAACTGACCCAGCCGGGACTTGAACCAGGGACCTTCTTGCTGTGAGGTGACAGTGCTAACCACTGAGCCACACTAATGATGGCTGCAGTTCTTTTAATAGCCACAAGGGGGAGACATAAACCAAAATACTGAGGAATTGCTTTAAATGCACACATCCCTTGTAATTTCACTTTCAACTTCAGGAGAGTGTCGGTTAGCTGGAGAGAGGAAACATACTACACAGTGCTGGAATTTAGGAAAATGTAGATATGTATTCTAACTTGGGTGGCTTCAGATAATCATGACAGCTGCAGTTCCTTTAATAACCACAAGGGGGAACCAAAACCAAAATACAGAGGCAGGTTTTAAAATGCATCCATGGCTTTTACTTGTCCACAGATCGCCGACCTTGGTGGTACATACCAGGGACCTCACTCTTCAGTTTGCTTTTCAGTATGCTTTTAACATCAAGAGAGAGAGACTGTCGACTGAAGAAAGAATCATGGGGAATGTACTACACAGCTGGAATCTGGGGAATCGAGATTATTGTACAACATGCAGTTGCTTTAATAGCCACAGGGGGGAGATACAAACCAAAATACAGAGGCACTGTTTTAAATGCACGCATGCCTTTTACTTTCACTTTCAGCTGGGGGTAGAGAATCATGAGTGAAATACTACTCAGAGCTAGATTCTAGGAAATTGCGATTATTAAATAGCCATTTGGCGACGCAGTGGCGCAGTAGGTCACCAGGGGTCGCTGGTTCTAGCCTCGGTGTTTCTGTGTGGAGTTTGCATGTTTTCCCTGTGTTCGCATGGGTTTCCTCCAGGTCATGAGACATGTGGTACAGGTGAATTGGGTAGGCTAAATTGTCCGTAGTGTATGTGTGTGTGGATGGATGTTTCCCAGAGATGGGTTGCGGCTGGAAGGGCATCCGCTGCGTAAAAACGTGCTGGATAAGTTGACGGTTCATTCCGCTGTGGCGACCCCGGATTAATAAAGGGACTAAGCCGACAAGAAAATGAATGAATGAATAAATAAGCATCTGATCTGGGTTATTTATTTGAACTGCGGTTGTTTTCAGACAACCATGATGGCTGCAGTTCCTTTGATAGCCACAAGGGACACTCAAATACAGAGGAATTGCTTCAAATGCATGCATCCCTTTTACTTTCACTTTCAACTGTCAGCTGGAGAGAGAGTAGTTGGTAAAACAGTACAAAGGGCTGGAATTTAGGGAATTGCGGATATTTATTCAAACCGCGGTTAGAATAAATAATCGTGATGGTAGCAGTTTCTTTAAAAGCCACAAACCAAAATGCAGAGGAAGTGTTGCAAATGCATGCATGCCTTTTACTTTCACTTTCAAACTGGCAGTGACTTTGAGAGAGAGATTTGTTTGTTTTTATTTGCTTGCGCTATAAATAAGGTCAGCACAGTGGTTAGAACTGAGTTAGAAACTTGCTGAGTCCCGGCTGGGTCAGTTGGTGTTTCTGTGTGGAGTTTGCATGTTCTCTTCGTGTTGGCCTGGGTTTCCTCCAGGTGCTCTGTTTTCCCCCACAGTCCAAACACATGCGCTATAGGGGAATTGATGAACTAAATTGGCCTAGTCAGGGCTTAATTTGTGACATAACAATCCGGATCCGGCACCTCTAAAACCTGTTCCGGCACCTCATTTTACTGCTCCTTCTCCTCACACCCGCCACTCCCCGCTCTTCACTTTTATCCACGACTTCCCAACCCTCTTCACTTTCGTCCACGATCCCCCTACCCCCCGGCCCCACTCTTCACTTTCATACGTGGGGTTAGGTGTGCGCATTAAATAACTGCATGCAGCTAGGTTTACAACTACACCCACACTCCTCACCCTGCGTCCGGCCTCGTTGTTATGCAGGTTCATCATCTGCCGGGCGCTCTCCGCGGAGCCCTTGCTGAACGTTTTCTCTCGCTCGCGGGCATCCACGAACTCTCTGCTGAAGCGGTAGCCGTAGTTGAGGTTGTCTCCGCAGCCGCCCCATAGCCAGTCACGAGGCAGGTCTTTGGGTCTGGAGGCTCTGCTGCAGCCACAGCTGGACAGCGCCCCCTCTCTGCAGGCACGGCTCACTGCATGCAGGACTCCTGCTGCACTGATGGCGAAGGCGAATGCTGACTCTCTGCTGCCTGACAAGAGGAAAAACAACAGGAGCATTAGCTGAGCAGCCCACACACACACATATATATATATATATATATATATATACACACACACTTAGCGGCCACTTTATTAGGTACACCTGTCCAAGTGCTCGTTAAAAAAAAAAGTCTAATCAGCCAATCACATGGCAGCAGCTCACTGCATTTGGGCATGTACACATGGTCAAGAGGATCTGCTGCAGTTCACAGCGAGCATCAGAATGGGGAAGAAAGGGGATTTAAGTGACTTTGAACGTGGCATGGTTGTTGCTGCAAGACGGGCTGCTCTGAGTATTTCAGAAACTGCTGATCTACTGGGATTTTCACGCACAACCATCTCTAGGGTTTACAGAGAATGCTCCGACAAAGAGGAAATATCCAGTGAGCGGCAGTTCTGTGAGCGCAAATGCCTTGTTGATGAGGCCAGAGGTCAGAGGAGAATGGCCAGACTGGTTCCAGCTGATAGAAAGGCAACAGTAACTCAAATAAGCACTCGTTACAACCGAGCTCTGCAGAAGAGCATCTCTGAACACACAACACGTCCAACCTTGAGGCGGATGGGCTACAGCAGCAGAAGAGCACACCGGGTGCCGCTCCTGTCAGCTAAGAACAGGAAACTGAGGCTACAATTCACACAGACTCACCAAAACTGGACAATAGAAGATTGGAGAAACGTTGCTGCTCTGATGAGTCTCCATTTCTGCTGACACATTCGGATGCTCGGCTCACAATTTGGCCTGAACAACATGAAAGCATGGATCATCCTGCCTTGTATCAGCGGTTCAGGCTGGTGGTGGTGGTGTAATGGTGTGGGGGAGATTTTCTTTGGGTCCATTAGTACCAATTGAGCATCAACGCCACAGCCTACCTGAGTATTGCTGCTGACCATGTCCATCCCTTTATGAGCACAGTGTCTCCATCTTCTGATGGCTACTTCCAGCAGGATAACGCAGCATGTCATAAAGCTCAATCATCTCAGACTGGTGAACATGACGATGAGTTCACTGTACTCAAATGGCCTCCACGGTCACCAGAGCTCAATCCAATAGAGCAGCTTTGGGATGTGGTGGAACGGGAGATTGGCATCATGGATGTGCAGCCGACAAATCTGCAGCGACTGTGTGATGCTATCATGACAATATGGAGCAAAATCTCTGAGGAATATTTCCAGTAGCTTGTTAAATCTACAACATGAAGGGGAATAAGGCAGTTCTGAAGGAAAAAGGGGTCCAACCCAGTACTAGTAACGTGTGCTTAATAAAGTGGCCGGCAAGTGCACATATACAGTTGAAGTCAGAATTTTTAGCCCCCCTGTATAAATTTCCCCCAATTTCTGTTTAGCGAAAAAGGTTTAAAACCTTGACTTTCTCAAACTGCAGTACACCTTGAGAGCCGTTATTATCCCATGCCTAGTAGGGAATAGTGAATGAGTGTATTCCGTATCCAGCACGTGTTTTTGCGGCGTACATACCGATGTGCATGACTCTGCCCAGCACTGTGGAGTTGTCGACGGTGCTGCAGTTCCAGCGGTGGTGGCGGAACTGGTGCTGGCACTCCCTGATGCCCGTCTTTGCCCCTTCTCCGATGTACTGCATGTGGTCCTGGTAGAGCTGGCAGAGCTTCTTCTGGCCCTTGGAGAGTCCAGATAACTGACTGCACAGCGGCTGACCACCGATCACATACACTTCAGGAATCAGCAGAGGATTCATCGCCAGAGACCTGCACACACAGACTCACACATTGGCTTCCATGGTTTGTTAATTGCTATATACACTTTTCTAAATATGTGGAATATCTTTTGTCCCTACCCAAAAGATCCCAAAAGATCTGGCAAATAAAGCTCACTTACCTAATATGTACAGTGAACTTGCCCACATGAAAAAATACTATAGTAATTTATAGCAAATACTGCAGTGTTTTTGAACCATTCTACAATTAGGTACATACATTAATCTGTTGTGGTGATTATACAGTTGCTATAGTGACAACAACTATAGTAATTGATCTGTTGTGGCGATTCAGCAGTTGCTATAGTAACACAACGACTATAGTAATATATCTGTTGTGGTGATTCTACAGTTGCTATGGCAACACAACAATTATATTAATTAATCTGTTGTGGCGATTCAGCAGTTGCCATGGTAACACATCAACTATATTAATTGAACTGTTGATGATGCTACAGTTGCTATAGTAACACAACAACTATACTAACTGATCTGTTGTTGCGATTCTACTGTTGCTATGGTAAAACAAAACCTATAGTAATTTATCTGTTGTGGTGATTTTACAGTCGCTATGGTAACACAACAACTATATTAGCTGATCTGTTGTTGCGATTCTACAGTTGCTATGGTAAAACAAAACCTATAGTAATTTATCTGTTGTGGTGATTTTACAGTCGCTATGGTAACACAACAACTATATTAACTGATCTGTTGTTGCGATTCTACAGTTGCTATGGTAAAACAAAACCTATAGTAATTTATCTGTTGTGGTGATTTTACAGTCGCTATGGTAACACAACAACTATATTAACTGATCTGTTGTTGCGATTCTACAGTTGCTATGGTAGCACAACAACTATACTAACTGATCTGTTGTTGCAATTACACAGTTGCTATGGTAACACAACAGCTATAGTAAATGATCTGTAGTTGCGATTCTACAGTTGCTATGGTAACACAAACACTATAGCCATTGTTCTGTAGTGGTGATTCTACGGTTGTTATGGTAACACAACAACAATAGTAATATAAACAAATACTGTAGTTGTTCTATACAGCAATAGGGTATATTATACTACAATACACCACAGTTTACTGTAGTAAAAACTTAAGTATACTAGAGTATATATAACATGTGACCAGTTCACTAGAGGTAATACTACAGTAAGCTGGAGCATTCATTAATAGTTGTAAATACTGTAATATATACAGTATACTACTCTTTACTATAGTATGGTTAAAAACTACAGCATTTACTATAAATGACCATAGTATTTTTCACGGAGGTGTAACAAAAATGAAGATGAAAAATACAGTTACACACTGACTGAATGAAGCAGGTTTAAACGTGTTCGAATCATCACGTACCACCATGAGTTTGCGTCCACGATCTCCAGCATGAAGAAGACACAGAAGGTGATGATGATGAAGAGCAGTGTGTGTGGAGTGTCTTTGACTCCAGAGCTCGTCCACTTCAGCTTCAGCAGCATCATAACCTGAAGAAACACCATGCAGAGTCAGCAAAACTCACACAGAGTCCTGCCACGCCCCCGTGTGGATGACATCTGAACAGCAGCCACAGCTGAGAATTGCAGGTAACTTTACACCACAAGAGAACATACTATAGTAAAGTGTTGGATCCTATTGCATAGAGCAGGGGTGCCCAAACTTAGTCCTGGAGAGCCGGTGTCCTGCTTATTTTAGTTCCAATTCCAATTTAACACACCTGAACCAGCTAATCAAGCTCTTTCTAGGAATGCTAGAAACTTCCAGGCAGATGTGTTGAAGGAAGTTGGAGCTAAACTATGCAGGGCACCGACCCTCAAGGACTGAGTTTGGGCACCCCTGGCGTAAGGTATTTACTTCATCTTTCAGCTGCATACTAGGGTATTTACTATAGTGAATTAATGACTTGTTGTCAGATTATAGTAGTTACTTTATCTATTCAATATTTACTGTATCTATTCAATAGTTCTTTGTTCTATTTAATGTATCCTCCATACTATAGTAAGAACTGTGGTAATGTTGAATTTATTAGTAATAATTAACATTAAAAATTATTATATTAATGGGGTTTCGCCCTTTGATTAAAGTTGTCAAAAAAGCTTTCTTTTTAGTAAAATATTTATTATATATTGATTTTATTTATATTAATTATATATTACATTTTAGAAGTTCTATAAAAATTTAATTTTATAAATAATATTAAATATGATTTTTTTTTTTTTGCATGTTACCATGGTTAGCATTTTGCCATTGTTTGTTGCACCTGGCTTCTAAGCTTATATTATTATTATTATTATTCATATTATTATTAAAACCTTATTATTATTATTATTATTAATATTTTTCAATTATCATTATTATTAATATTATTATAGAACATTATTATTATTAATAATAATAATAATAATGGTATTATAAAATATTATTATTATTCATAATATTATTACTAATATTAAAGCATTCTTATTATTATTAACACTAATATTATTATGAAAGCCTTATTATTATTATTTTATTATTATCAAAACATTATTATTATTAGTAGTATTATTAAAACCTTGTTATTATTATTATTATTAAAACCTTATTATTATTATTATTATTATTATTATTATTATTATTATTATTATGAGTAGTATTATTAAAACTTTATTATTATTTTTTATTATTAATACTATTATTATAAAACCTTTTTAATATTATTAATAATAGCAATATTATTAAAGCCTTTATTATTATTATTATTATTATTATTATTATTAATTTTATTATTAAAGCCTTAATATTATTATTATTATTATTATTATTATTATTATTATTATTATTAACTGTTTGATTTATTTATTGAATTATCCTTTTTCCCCCTATGGATTTTTTCTGAATTTAAGTTTGCTATTTAAATAATAAACAAGTGAAATAGAGGCAAAAATAAGTCATTCTACTGCGTTAAATCACTGGACTATAAGAAAAAACCACATGAAATGCATCCAGGCAATAGTACTTCCTGAACAAATGACATTTATAACCCGGTTCCTTTCAGAGAATGAGAAATAAACAACAGAACAGCTGTGTGCTCCTGTAGCTCTTCTTAAAGCAAGCTCTAACATGTAAAGCACTGACTGTACTGTATGTGTGTGTGCAACCTTCTGTAGAGCAGATTCACTGCAGAATTCATCAACACCAGCAAACACTGATTCACTAATCCCCCCAAAATCACACATACATTAATATAAACTCACTGCACATTAAATTAATCCAACAGCCCTGCAATTAAAAAAAAAATAGTTTAAATAAGTACGACAGGGTCTCATTGGAAATACCCGCTTTAATGATCAACCAAACATACCTCATTATACGTTTAGACTGCAGTTTGTAGGTAAAATGAACACTAGGGGACAGTATGATGACAACAAATTTAGTTCCTGTTCACACTAATGATATTACCAGGCACATAGCATCAACAAATAAATAATTCTTTCCATGCATTTCTTTGCACAAGACCAAATAAACACCACAAAACAACTTGATGTTTATGATTTGTAACAAATATGTTTGTGTGACCTATTCATCTATTTTAGAAGGACAACTTTTCTGGCATGGTCAGTTTGATTGGCAGTTCATTTTTTATGATGTCAGTGGACAAAAGAGATGAAGCAATGTAAAATCAAGGTAAAACTGTATAATGTTTAACGCAGTGTGTAGATAGCGCCCTCTAGTGGACTTGTCATTTCTATCATGCAATGAAACCTACTAGTGTAAACACAGTGGTGTAAACGCAGTCTATGTATTTCAGCTTCAAGACATATTGTAGACAGCGTCCTCTAGTGGATTTGTCATCTGAAATGTACAACCAAACGCACCCTAAGTAACCTATTTCATATTTGAAAAATGAATACAGCGCCCTCTAGTGGATTTGCCATTTGAAACCTACAAAAAATATAACTTAAGTGTCGTATTTCAGATTCAAAACAATGAATACAGCGCCCTCTAGTGGATTTGTCATCTGAAACGTGCACCAAAACTCATCCCAAGTAATGTATTTCACTCATAAAAAGTAGACAGCGCCCTCTAGTGGACTTGTCATCTGAAATATGCATCAAAACATAACCAAAGTAACTTATTTTAATTTGTATTGCAACATTATATTTATATTGCAACATGCTGTCACGACTTGCTGATGTTATAATGCTTTACAGTGTTAATGTTAAATGTAGATGCAGATATATAGATAGATAGATAGATAGATAGATAGATAGATAGATAGATAGATAGATAGATAGATAGATAGATAGATAGATAGATAGATAGATAGATAGAAATTCCCATATAAAAAAAAACCTTAGTAATTTTTAATTTATAGTAAACAATAGCATTTTCGATCATTTCAAGCACTTGAATTCATATATTGTGGTGAATCTACAGTTTAATTTAATTCTTTAAATTGACTATATAGCATATTATACTAAAATACAGCACACTTTACTTCAGTAAAGTACTTGAATTCATATTGTAGTAATTTTATAGTACCTATGGTGCCCCAAGAACTATATTAATATGAATATAATTACCTTCAATAAGCCATAGGGTACATTATACTACAATACACTACAGTTTACTGTAGTAAAACTAAAGTATGAGTAGTTTATCAGTTCACTATACAGTATGCTGGAGCATTCGTTATGAAAGAGGTGTGAAATCTGCGATATAAAGTGTAATACACTTTATTAAAGAGGGTATAAGGCTCAAAAACACTATAGTATTTACTATAAATTACTAAATGATACCATGAAAAGATAATAAATAAAACTTACAAGACTCTCCTAACTGATGTCTGTTCAAGTCGGCAGAAATTCAGATGATCAGATCGCGTTTACTCCAGTTGTATCCGTGTCAGGGGAAATATCCGGTTAGTTATTAGCATAAATGACGACTCATTTAAACAAAACGCAATCCCAGTGAGTGAATCTGACAGACAAATCCTGGAGTTGATGTGGCTGCTTGTCAGAATTCTCTCCCTAAAATCCATACAAACAAAACGCTTGAAAAGGTAAATCCAACAAGCTCAGGTAACTTCTCCACAGGTATTCCAGCGGTCGCGATCTCTTCATCAGCGATCAATGTTAATATGTCGGGCTGTTAGAGATGGTGATGTTGATGGTGGATGTCCAGTGTCTGCTGTCTTCAAGTGTCCTCCAGCTCTGATGTTTTAGATCATCTGCAATCTGGAGTTGTTCGTCTCATCTTCAGACTCCGCCTCACAGGAGAACTCCCATTTGAGAAAATACTACTATAGTACTTTTGACTAATTATCATTGTTCGAGTCACCTTTATTTAAAGTAAACACGTGTGTTAGCTACTTGTTGAGGAAACTTGATGTTTTATTTGATTTTGAGATTAACATGAGTTTAAGATTGTAATATTTTAGTATTTACTCAAGTTTATCAGTTTACTAATAGATTACTAATTAGTACTAGACTGTTGTAAGATGTGGTAAATATAAAAATATAAAACAACGATATCCATTAATTTAATTGACTAATGTTTGAGTCACATTTATAGAAAATTATTCATTCATTCAATGAATGAACCACCAACTTATCCAGCATGTTTTATGCAGCGAATGCCCTTCCAGCTGCAACCCATCACTGGGAAACACCCATACACATTCATTCACACACATACACAGCAGACAATTTAGCCTGCCTAATTCACCTGTACCGCATGTTTTTGTTTTGTTTTTTGGACTGTGGAGGAAACCGGGGCACCCGGAGGAAACCCACGCCAACACGGGGAGAACATGCAAACTCCACACAGAAACACCAACTGACCCAGCCGGGACTCAAACCAGAGACCTTCTTGCTGTGTGGCCACAGTGCTAACCACTGAGCCACCGTGCCGCCCATAACGTTTTTTTGTGAGAAGTTCAAATGTGCATAAAAAAAACACACACACACAAAAACACATACGCAATTAATAGTGAGATCCAACACTACTTAAAAGTGAAAAACTCTCACTACCTAAAGTGCACTTCAAGTCCTACTGAGGAAAGGAAGTGTTTTTCATTTTATGGCATGCTTGTTTGTAATTTCCCAGTGGCAGTGAGCCAGATCAGCATTTGAAAGCACTCGCACAACCAGCTTCAGAATAAGCTCCCTCCATTAGCGCTGTTTTGAAGACATTTTTCTCGTATGTCCTCATGTCGTTTGTGGCTGTTTGAAACACAGTGATGTACGAGAGACATTGCTGGAATGCAGAGCTGCCACATCATGAGAAACACTATGATTTATAGTGGCTAAATATTGTGTTATTGAGCCAGATACTATAGTAAAGTGCATTATACTGTATACTCAGAGGTTCTCAATCTCGGTCCTGGAGGTCTGGTGTCCTGCAGATTTTCGCTTTAACCCCAATCAGACACACCTGGGCTAGCTACTCAAGCTCTTATAGGCTTTCTAGAAACATCCTTGCAGGTGTGTTGAGGCAAGTTAGAGCTCAAAACTTCCGACACCGGCCCTCCAGGACCGAGATTGAGAACCCCTGCTGCATATCTACAACACTTTGGTAATAATTACTCTAGGATATTAACTATAGTGAACTGATAATAAATACTCTAGAATACTTTAGATTTTACCACAGTAAACTGTGGTGTTGTGTTGTATAATATACCCCACAGATGTACAAAACTACTGTATTGGGTCATTTGTTTATATTCAATTACTATAGTCTGGGGAGTGGCACAGCATTTTCAACCAGGATAAAGTTACTGTTGTCCAGGCCACATTTGATGCCATCTTGGGGGCGATCAGTAAATGAAGAGGGTTGGTGTGGGAAGCGGGGATGGGTGGTGGGTAGAGGGGATCGGTAAGTGAATCGGTAAGCGGGGGGAGTTGGGCAGCGATTAATGAGTGAAGACTGGGGGGGGGGGTTCGGTGTTCAGTCACAGTCAGGCCAGATTGACCGTCAGCAATGTCCCTCCCGCTCCTCCTTATGGCCAGTCTGCCCCTGACTACAGTTGTTGTGTTACCATAGCAACTGTAGAATCACCAAAACAGACGATTTACTATAGTTGTTGTGTTACCATAGCAACTGTAGAATCACCACAACAGACCGGTTACCATAGTTCTTGTGTTACCATAGCAACTGTAGAATGGACACAACAGATCAATTACTATAGTTGTTGTGTTACCATAGCAACTGTAGAATCACCACAACAGACGATTTACTATAGTTGTTGTGTTACTATAGCAACTTTTCACCTTATTAATCGC